TCGTATCTCTAGGTTTATCTTTCGTTTGTTTATCTATTGGTATGATTTTGTTTGTTTGTTTATATTTATAGGGTTAGCTAAAATATGTTAAACTCGTAGTCCCTAAATCCTCATATAAATATTATTAGGCTCGTAGTCTCCCGTCCGTTCAAATTCAAGAAGTATTCCAGAGTTATCATTTTGGCCTTTATTATAGTGTCTAGACTTCGTTTTCCATTCATTGACCATGTCTGAGAAAGCAAAGGAACTGAAGACAGGGGAGACAGAAGGAGCGAGGGTGAGAGCACTGAAGGAAGCCTTAAATCACAGTGTGGAGAAAGTCCTGGGTGGCTGGAAGGCTTCGCTGTTCGCCAAGTGAGAATTCGTGTTTGGGTTTTAGTCTCCTTTCTCCTTTTACGTTCATTTTGTCTCTATATTCTCTCCATGTATTCAGTGTGGCAGTATCTGAATTGGTTCCCGATACTCTCGGGGAAATTTTAATGGTGATATAACCTTTGTTCTCTTCAAATTGCTTCGGGTCTTCTCAACTTCGGTTCTTGTAAGGCAAAGGGGGAGATGCCAGTTTCATTGATGGTTTTTTTCCATTTTTTCTCTCTCTCTTCATAAATATTTACAGATATTGCTTGATCTTTAAGTTGTAGATGCAGTAAGCTGGGGTAGATTGGAGATGGTTTTCTTGTAGAGAACTAAAAGTTGCATTCATGATACTAGAAATAATCGTCATCAGACTCGAATAGTGACAACATGAATAAAGAATAAAGATCATGGAAACAGCTGCTTACAGCACAAGCCCACTTGGTGTTCCCGAATTCCAGTTTATCTTGCAGTGCTTCCGACGAGTTGAAGACAATTTGGGGATGGTTTGGAAGCCAAGCCCACCATTTCATTCCCTTCACACCTCTAGCAGTGACTATATATATATACTGTATATTAATATAAATAGGTCTTATATATATATGATATATGGCCAATCACGGTACAACTTAGTATAGGTTGTATATATATGAACTTTTATTAGTTATATACATTATATTATTAGTGATTGTTAGTAGTGATAGCTAGGTAGTTATACTTGTCTCTATTAGGTGTATAGGTTATATATATATATTATAATTTTAATGTTAGTTCTTAGTATTATTACATGCAAATAAGATAATTTTAGTTTATATATACTGACTATATATATATAAATATACATATGTATTTAGTGAGTTAATTTTTTCGTGTTTATTTAGTATTTCAATTTACTATTAAAGAAAATAAACTTATTTCATATATTATATATTATAAGCTATATAATTGTAAATCAATAACATACTTTATAACATATAAAATAACTGTATTCATATAATATATAATATATATATCATATATATTATAATTATATAAAATATAATTATACATTACCATATATATATATGTTACTTTATTATAGGGGAGATGTTTAGTATTTATAAATAGTATAAAGGTAATAAGCTTATTGTGATTTAGTGAAAACAAATGGTGAGAATAGTTAAAGATCCCAGCATCTATTTAATAGTTTAAGTGTATTATAAAGTAGCTCATATTGTTTATTTACCCTCTTGTACTTTCATATTTGATTATATTGTATTTATGTAATTAGAGTTTATTCTAATATTCATATTTTAGCTTTATTTTGAGAATTTTATTAATATAATGAATCATTTCCAATTAGTTTTTTATTGTATAGAGAATGATTCTACCCATACCCAAATGATTTAATGCTATTTCACTATATATTCATTATTGATAGAGCTTATAAAAAATAATATATGCATTGTTATATGTACCTTACAGTTATGTTATGGTGTTTTTTTATCCCTTTTCCCTCTAAAATTCTCTGAGCAGTGTATCATTAAAACGGCTTAAGTGTACACACTAGTGTCTTTATTTCTGTCCAGGCATCCCTTATTACATAAGTGGGATACGATTAACTATTTACTCCAGGTGTGAATAGGTGAACTCCTCAAGATAGAAATATTCCCTGCATATTAAGCGGCTTGGAGCAAAAATCACCGTTTGATTGGTCTTTTTGAGCCCTAATTGACTAGAAAAAGGCGATGAAAGTTTAGATTAGTCAAAAACAAAAATCATAGTATCATAATTACTTAATGGAATATTTATTATATTCTTGATTTATATAATTATTATATCATGTATGATGTAATTGTTTATAATATGTTACTCAGATATTAAAATGATATTAAGTGATATATATATATGATAGGTAATTATTTATTTAACTAAGTACATGACGTCCACTTAGTAGTGGTTAACGAAGTCCCCAATTAATCACATTTTGATCTACATAGTAGATTGGTAGTGTAAGCGGATCTGTAATAGTGGGTGATTACCGTGGGACTGGGTGTTGTCCCTTCGGGCATTACTCAAGGATAGGGCTGATGGAGGGATCATCCTCCCCCACACCCTCCCTGCAAAACATTGCCCTTTACTCATCATATGCATGACAAAAAGAGCT